CAGTGAGCGCGTGCGTGGGGCTGGGTCGGGGACAGGGTGACTGCTCTCAGGAGTACTGGGTAAGGGGTTTCCAAGGTAGGGCCTGCTGGCAAGGAGGAGGCAGAAGAAACGGTGTGACACACTCTCATCCTCGCGGCCTACATGTTGGCCGGGCATGACCTGTACCTTTCCCAGAGCCTCTCCCCAAGCCGCCATGAACCGGGGTGTCCAGGGCTGGATCCCTGTGTGGAGGGCAGGGAAAACTGGGATCTCCTAACTCCTGATCCCTCATCCCTGGACTGGTTGGGCAGACAAAGACACCTGGCTGGGTAGCGGGCTAACTTCCTGGGGTACAGTAACACCCTTGGGCCTTGCAGTGCCTAACCTGCAATCTGTAACTCATCGACTTCCGGTCTTTGAGCCCCATCCCACGGATTCCCATCTTTCAGTTTCACGTCCCTTACCACCCCACCCCTACTTGGCCACTGTCACTGTCTTTGTGTAGTAGTCCAAGGTGCTCCCCGTGGGATCCCCTTCCAGATGTGGGAACACTACCTCCTGTCAGGTAGGAGGGGAGGGGTCATTTCCTAGTGCTGTCAGTGGTGAAGGGCCTGGAGAGTGGCTTTAGGTCAGAGGTCAACAGATGATTCATGCTGAGTCATTGGTTTGGGTGGGATAGCCTTCCTTCAGCAGGGCCCCACTTGAATACGCAGATGTCCTCAGGCAAGCTCTTGGGGTTCATTGCTGATAAGAGTGGTCACTTACGAGTACATAGTCAAGAGGGATGTGTGTCAGTGAAAGAGTATAAGGGCATTTGAGGTGACTGCTTTGTGAGTCCAGGTCCCACAGTGGGCATTCGGGACTATGGCCCCTTCCCAAACAATAGTATCTTTGATGGTTCCTCACTAGAAGTCCACAGACTGGACACTTTCAATTCTCAGTCTTCCTTATATCAGGAATTCCCCCCTCAGTGTATTGTGAGAACGCTGTCTACGATGGCTGGGTACTTTGTGGGCCCTGTCCAAGCAGACATGCCAGCATTCTTACCACAGGTGGTCTGCCTTGACTGCCCCAGAACAGTGTGTCACACTTCACTCTGCAGACAGGAAGGAAAACCAACAGCCTACAGTAAGGGCAGTGCCCCAAAGGGAATTTAGAGCACTCTTCTTAGGGCAGGTAGACATAGGAGTGTCCCTACCTCCAAGCTCTGTCACATTTGGACTTGTTAATGTGTTGCACCATGCCCCTAGGGATGGCAGACACTATAGCTCCCTGGGTCACACACAGCAGAGGCCTGACACTCCACTTTCTGGGCAGAATTACTTTTCCTAGTCCAGACTAACATCCAGGAACCTGTGTGCTAGGCAGGGCAAGAGTCCTAAGCCATTCCAAACCTAAGGAGCAGTGGGGAATGGAGCAAGGCTGCCCTAAGGCAACTTCCAGGGCCAGAGGTGCAGGTTTCTAGGTGTTTGGTTGCTATTTCTAATGCTTTCTCAAGCACAAGCCTCTGCTACCCACCCCGCACTCCCCAGCCACTGAAAAACAAGAACTGGGACACCCATAGTCATAGGTGCTCAAGGGCTTTGCCTTTATTCTCGACGTATTGGGGAGAGGGTGGTGACCCGGGGTCTTGGTCTTGGGAATGTGTATTGCCATTAGGATGGGTGGGTCTGAGAGGGTATAGAGACCCTACAAGGACTGGCTGACCCCAAGGAACTGAGGCCCAGAGAGGTTTTAGCTGAGGTGGGACAGTAGCAGAGGGTGAAGTTTTTAGAAAGGGTGAACATTCAGGAGTTGGGTCAGAGAGATCAGTAAAGGGGCTGTGGGAAGACACAGGTGTGGACCCAGGGAAAAGGTGTGGGTGGGGCTGAAGGCCATCAGCCGTGGATGAGTCAGTCTCCACTCTACTGTGCTCACCTTGGGCCAGGCACAGTGTCTCGCCACCCTCCTAGATGTGTACAATGAAGGTAACAGGCCAGAGCACTGCCCAGGGTCTTCAAGCAGTAGCAACGGAGCCAAGGGGCCAACAAGACTAATCTCTTGGAGGAGGGGGCAGTAATAATCTCGTTACTGGACTGCATTTGTGTCTTAATCAGCCGTTTATTATAGGAAAAGAGATCCACAAAGTAAATGGTATGTGAATCTCTCACTTGTCTGGAATGGGGCAAACACTGGCAGTCCCTGAGTACCAGTGGCCCATGTCTGCCCCCAGGGACATGCTATGGCCTCTAGTGCTGTTTCTGAGCCTCTCTTCGTTGGGTCCTGGAAGACCTCCCAGGCATAAGCAAAGCCTAAGATTTAGCAGCTCCATCGACAATGTGCATCTACTTGTGAGGTTAAGGTAAATGGGTCCTACTGCCCCTAGTTAATGCATCTTCCTACCCCTCCAGGCCCCTGGCCCCAACATGGCCCGTCGCTCCCAGAGCAGCTCGCAGGGGGACAACCCATTGGCACCTGGGTACCTGCCACCTCACTACAAAGAGTACTACCGCCTGGCAGTGGATGCACTGACTGAGGGTGGGCCAGAAGCCTACAGCCGCTTCTTGGCATCTGAGGGGGCCCCTGATTTCCTGTGCCCTGAGGAGCTGGAACATGTGAGCCGCCACCTGCAGCCCCCACAATATGTGGCCCGGGAGCCCCCTGAAGGCAGTCCTCCTGATGTGGACATGGATGGTTCCTCAGGCACCTACTGGCCAGTGAACTCAGACCAGGCTGTGCCTGAGCTGGATCTGGGCTGGCCCCTGACCTTTGGCTTCCAAGGCACAGAGGTCACCACACTGGTACAACCACCACCACCTGACAGCCCCAGCATCAAAGATGAAGCTCGGAGGATGATCCGTTCTGCCCAGCAGGTGCGGGTGGTGAAGGACAGCCTGGGCTGGGCCTTGAAGCGTGAATAGGAGGGTGTGGGAAGAATAAAAGCATTTGGTGCTAGGGATGCCAGGCCTGGTCATCCAGACCTCAGCAGGAAGGTCACCTTGTAGAGTTTGTCCATTATCACCTGGGACTTGGTTGGTAGCCTCTATACATTTGCTTGCCTAGGATCATGGCCAGTACCCAGAAACTGGGGGGCAATTGGCGTATTGATCTCTCCAGACCTTGCCCAGCTGAGAGCAACCAACTCTCAAAGCAGTTGGCAAACAGCACCA